TACATTTGATGGAATTCCCCCACTTTTCAAGTTCTTTAAAAACAATAATTTTCAACCTTAGATGCTTATTACAAAATCCATCCCAATACCTGGGTCCTACCATCTTTAACCTTTATGTCTGGGCATTGTTGTTCTTGTTTGTGTTTTAAGAGCTTAGAAAAACCAATTCTTCAGCCCCTAGACAGCACTCTAAGAAGAAGGAGGCTGTGGCTCTGGATCCATGAGGCAGGAGAGGCTTTTCAGCCTAGAGCTGATGGGTCATCTGGAACCCCATTATGAAGCTGCAGACCAGAGCCTGATAGACATTTCTTAACTAAATTCATCATCTCTGAAAAAATGATCATCTCTGGTGCTGAAACCCGGACCACACTGGTTCCTGGCAGGCCCATAGCCACAACAATTCACAGGCTGATACCAGCATAGAACCTGCGTTCAAGGTGATGGTGTGGCAGGGAGACAGGGAAGCAAAGAGATTCCACCATGCTTCATCCAGCTGGTCTGTGGAAGCAGATCAGGCTCCCTTTGGTGCATCCAAAGCCCTACAGAATCCTCATGGAATTCATAGATAAAACCCCTAATTTGTAGATAATATATTGAGTTTCCAACCTTATCTACCTTAATTTCCTTACCTTATCTTTCCTTTCTGTACTTACTATGTTATGTTTGATTGGAAATATGAATACATTGTGTCAGTGTTTGTACCTTAAGTTGATAGAACAACTTCCAATTATAGAGGAGCTAGCCCATACTAATGTCATATAATTGGTAGTTTTAAACTTTGTTCATGGCCTCAACAAGAATAGCTATATTGCAGGGCAGTAAATGCCAAATTTTAAACCACAGTTTGTGTCCAGAAATCACTGTATGCCCTTTAATCCCAATTGGTCAGTAGAGAACATGAGCACATCTTTCTCCATAAAGTCATGCAACTTGGACTTGAAGACTGTTTACCCCACCCCTTCTGGCCTGTAGCCTGAGCTAAACTCTGCTCCTTCCCCTCTGAGGACAATGTGATGCACCAAGAGTTGGTGAAGCACTTGAAGGAGCACTAGTTGTGAATCAGAGACTTAGATTCTTACGAATCTCCACTTGTCCTGCCTGACCTGACAAGAGTGACTTCATTTCTCTGGGCTGCAGTTTCTTCATCTACCAAAGGAAAAAGTAACGTGAGATGACTTCAGAGGCCTCCTTCACTTGATGTATCCATGGTCCATAGTGGAAGAGATGGGTAACAAGATTGGAAAGGACTGCATTACAGATTAGTGTTCCCATCCTCTAGTACCTACCAAAGTATCCCATATATTTCATAGCATCATTTGATCTCTAAAACTTTCATGCAAAATACATTAATTAATATAATAAATCCATGCATTATAATATATTGATACATTAGTGGTATTGTTAATTGATATATTAATTATAATATTAATTGATATATTCGTATTAATTAGGAAAATATATAATTCCTCCCAAATTTCAGTCTCTGTGGTTTAGCCTTGATACACACTTCATGGAGCAGAAAAAAAAAAAAGAAAGAAAGAAAGAAAGAAAGAAAGAAAGAAAGAAAGAAAGAAAGAAAGAAAGAAAGAAAGAAAGAATTTCCTGATCCAACCTCCCTCTAGCACAGTGGCCTAAATGTTGGTTAAAAAACACAGTTGTACATAAAAAATGATAGAGTAGAAACCAGCAGCAAAATACAGCCTCTCCAAGAGGTAGAATCGAGACACTTGAAAAATAACAACTTTATGAAGAGGTAAAAAGAAGTAGATCTACAGGAATTAGAAAAGAACTGACAGGAAATTTAGAAATTTTGCAAAAACTGGAGAAATGGAGCACAACCCAGAGAAAGGAATGAAATTGACCCCAGGTCACTGAGAGGGGGTCCTGCCTCCATTAAAACAAGGTAAGAACAAGGTCAGCAGCTCCAGGGAGAAACAAAAGACCAGGCTGAGCCGGTCTACCTCCAAGGAATGTCTACAGTTATTGTAGAGAATAACATGGGGTTTTACTCTGAAAGTGACTCCTTCTATATAGGCTAGAGTTGGAGAAGAAACCCAGTGGAGTGCTGCCATATTTGGGAGGGGTTAGTCAGGAGTCATTTTGGGAAGCAGTTAATTGTTTAATACTTAACAACAGCGCTACTATACTTCTAGGTTACTGGGGTCACCTACTACAGTGATTTAGTGAAAGACAGCCACAAAAGAGTCATGGAGAGGCCACAGACTAGATATAGATCCCACCTGAGAAATTTAAGCCTGGGAAGAACATCCCAGTTGAGAATCCAGGCCAGTCATGTGTAGCATGAAACGTACCATACAGAAATCCAGGACATTAAAAATTCTATTGAAAATATGGGCAGCAGCAGTGATCAGTGTGAGGACAGAGTACCAAAACTAGAAGACACATACTCAGAGATACCTTAAAAACAATAAGAAAGTATATAAAATGGATCCAGTGTCTGTGAAATGATGTAAAGAAGACTAACCTAAGATTAATTGGAATTAGTGAAAAATCAGGATAGTGAAAAACACAAAACACATAAAAAATCTGATAGCAGAAAACTTTCCAAGTATGGTGAAGGAACTTAACATACAGATGAAGGAGGCATATAGAACCCCAAATAGCCATGTTCAAAAAAAAGAACTTAACACATAGTCAAAAAAATCCTAAAACTTCAACACAAGGACAAAAATCTTAAAAACTGTTAAAGGAAAGAAAAGATAAAGATAAACCCATTGAATTATGATAGACTTCTCAAAATTTAAGGGCCAAGAGAGCTTACAGTGAAATGTTTAAAACCCTAAAAGAAAGCAATTCCAAAACAGACTGATATATCCTGCAAAACTATTTTTCAAATTCTATTTAGAATTGGATGTTTCCATAACAAAGATCACCTTAAGAAATTCATGACTACCAAAATGGCAATCTAAAAAATTTTCTAGGCTATCTTAGAAAGAGACAATGGAAGCCTACAATTCCAAAAGTCTAATGGAATGAACACATCAGGCAAGGTAAATAGTTAAGCAGAAGGGGAAAAAGGAATCAACAAGAAGAAAATAATGCAATAACATGCATAAGTCAATGGCTTTCAGTAGTAAATCTCAATATGAATAATTTCAACTACCCAATCAAAGATTAGCAGATTGGATCAAAAAATAAAACCCAATGATATGCAGTTTATAAGGAACACAACTAATACAAAAACAAATTCATACACTAATAAAATCAAAGGATAAAAACAATATATGCAAAAGCAAGAAGGAGTAGCTATCCTTTTTCAGAAAAAGTGGACTTCAATCCAAAACTGAACAGAAGAGGCAAGGAAGGTGCCTACATATTTGTTAAGGGGACAATTCAAAGGGATGGGATAATAATTATAAATATATATGCACCAAACAAAAGTGCACAGATTTGTAAAACAAATACTACAGGACATAAAAGGTCACATAAATACTAACACAACTATAATAGGAGACCTCAATATTTCACTATCAGAAAAAGACAGGCAACTAGACAGAAAAAATCAGCAAATTAATATGAGAATTGAACCACACCTTCAAACCAATGGATTTGATAGCTATCTATACTGTTCCACCCAACGACAAAATACACATTCTTGTCGGCAGCACATGGAACTTCCTCCAAAATGGGCCACATACTAACCCACAAAGCATGCTTATGTAAATACAAAAGAATCAAAGTTATCCCATATATATTATCAGATCATAGTGCAATGAGGTAGAAATCAGTGCCAAAAGAAATCACATAAATTATGCAAACACATGGAAATTACACAACACATTCTTGAATAATGAATAGGAAGAAATTAGATAGTTTCTAGAATCAAATGATCTCACCAGTACAACATACCAGGATCTATGGGACACAATGAAAGCATTCCTAAGAAGGAAATGTGTAGCTGGAAAGCCCACATTATAAAAATAGAATGAACTCAAATAAATGACCTAATGATGTACCTCAAGGTCCTAGAGAAACAAAAACAGACCAAATGTAAACCTAGTCCAATGAAAGAAATTATAAGTAGCACAGTAGAAATTAATGAAATTGAGACTACAAAGAGTTAGTGAATCAAAGAGCTAGTTCTTGAAAATATGGACAAATCTTTAACCAATTTACTTAAAAAAAAAAATGGAAAAAAGTTCCAAATTGGGCCAGGGACTTAGCTCAGTGGTGCCACCACCTTCCTCACAAGTACAAGGTTCCAAGTTTGATCCCTGGTACAAAAAAAAAGTATAAATTAATGCAAGTAGAAATTAAAAAGGCAAAATCATAATGGATCCCGATTATTAGTAATTACTTAGAAAATCTATACTTCAATAAATTGGAGAATCCAGAAGAAATAGATTCCTAGATACGCATGAATTACCAAAACTGAAGTGCAAAAGCATAAAAACCCTGAAAAATCCAATACCAAGCAATGAAATCGAATCAGTACCCACAACTCCAAGCCAGTGTCAGGTATAGAAATATTCACCTTTGATCCGAGTGAGGAGGTTTTGAGGCAGAAATTCAGAAAAAGACAAGCCTCTGCTCCAAGAATCTGCCTGACCCTAGGTAACTCTCCTCTGACACCACCCTCTCCCTCAGGAATGTGACCCCACATCCTTCCCAAGTGACAGAAGACATGGTCTAGGCAGTCCATCTCCAGACATCTCCTCCTTTGAGGAGATAGCTTCTTGTCTTGTCACTGATACAATTCACAGCTAAAGGCTGTGAATTAGTTTTATTACATCCTGACATCCTGGGAACATGGGGCATTGTTTCTCTCAAGGCTAAGATAACAAAATGACTTGGGAATAACTAAGTGCCTTTGTTTCTTGTTTATGTAACTTTCTTGCTACACACCAAAGATTGTATATAAGGGACCTTCTTGTCTTTGTGCTTTTGCTCATTTTGAACAAAGAGTCTTTTTAGCAGTGCATACCCTTTAAATAAAATCCTCCTGAATCCCATTTGGTCTGTCCTGTCTCTTAGAATTCTGTAACAGGTTCAGTGCATTACAGAGATGCATGAGCCCTGAGCATCCATCACTGGAGCCATTAGCTGAGTCCCTGTGACTCCTTCTCCCTGTCACTCATCCGCTGAGCTTGGGAAAAGGCTCAGTCCAGGAGCTGAAGAGGGTCTGAGTCAGCAGGGGAAGAACAGAGGTAAATGGAGAGTTTTGCAGTTCAATTTTTATAAACATCTTTGTTTATTATTTATTTTTCAATAATATACTTTAATTTTAGGCTTATAGAAAAATTGAGCAGAAAATTCAGTGTTCATGCATTCCCTAAGCCTTCCCCTACAAGTCTTCTCTATTATTATCTTGCTTTTATATGGTATATTGATTATAATTGATGGTCCAATATTAATACATAATTATTAACAAAAAGTCTATGATTTACATGAAGTGTCACTCTTTAGTGTGCATTCTATGGGTTTGGACATGGCATGTATCAACCATTACAGTACATACAGAATAGTTTCCCTGTCAGAGTCCTCTATGTTCTACTCATTCAGCCCCCTCCCTTTCTGGTAGCCACAGAATTGTCTCTAGAGTTCTGTCTTTCCTAGGAAATCATATATTAGAATTCTGTGTATATATTTGCTTCTTTCACTCTTTAATATGTATTGAAGACCTTTCATGCCTCTTTGTTTGCTCATGTTTAAAAAATTATTGAATAACATTTCATTGTCTGTATAAATCACAGTTCATTTACCTACTGAAGAACAATTTGGTTGCTCCCAAATTTGGAATTTATGAATAAAGCTACTCTGAACATTCATGTGGGCATAAATTTTCAGTTCCTTTATGTAAACATTGAGCATAATGACTGAATCATATGGTAGAGTATGTGTAGTTTTGTGGGAAACTTCCTGTCTTCCAAAGTATGCAGCTGCACAGTCTGTATTCCCACCAGAAATGAAAGTTCCTGCTGCTCCACATCCTCACTAGCATTTGGTGTTGCCAGTGTTCTAGATTTTATCTGTTTTCTTCTTGACTGATCTTTTCTGTTGTTATGTTTTTATTTTTTAACAGGTCTTAGTGGCTTTTCTTGTTGCTGAGACAAAATATCTGACACCCAAAGTTAAAGGAAGAAAGGTTCATTTGGTTCACAGACTGTAGAGGTTTCAGCCCATAGTTGGTTGGCCCCAAGGCAGGGCAGCATAGCAGAGGGGCATCACAGAGGAGAAACACTCCAAGGCAAGCAGGCAGGTGAGAGTGAGAGCACATGAGCCTTCTTTCTGTTGTTTATATTTTATGCAGGATACCTATTTTAGGGTGGGTGTAGCACTCACCCTTAATCCTAACCAGAACTGTGCCAAATCAAGCAGTGGACTAGTTTAGTAATCACACAGTCTTGATTCCAGCATCACACACTCTATATCCAGCCACCTCTGAAAAGCACCCCCTATGACTGCAGGAGGTTTTGAGGGCACATCTAGATACAAGCTATAACAATTAGTATATATTTGTAATACATAATTTCATCACATTGCTTATGGGGAGTTGGTATACGTACATAACATATCTTGGCTGTTTTTATCATCCTCTGCCCTCCCTTCCTTCCCCTCCCCCTACTCTTGGCCCTCTTCCCACTTTAGAAAGTTCTGTTTCCCTATTCCCTATTATTTGTCTTTTGTTTTGCTCTTTATTGATATTTTGGGTTCCTCCTATAAGAGAAACCATGTGATATTTAAACTTGTGTGTCTGGTTTATTTCACTTAACATTACGGTTTCAAAGTACATCCGTTTTCCCACAAAATGACTTGAATTTATCCTTCTTTGTGGCAAAGTGGTACTCCATTTTAATAAGTGTATAGTAGTGTCTTCTTGCTTTAATATATAGTTTTCTAATAATATGTGATATTGAATACCTTATCATAACCTTATTTGCCATCTGTGTATACTCTTTGCTGAAGCGCCTTGATCTCTTGCCCAATTTATGTTCCAGTTGTTTGTTTTCTTATCATTTTAAGAGTTCTTTATATATTTTGGATACCCAGTCTGCTAAGCGTTTTACAAAGATTTCCCAGTTTGTGATTACCAAATCACAAAAATAGAAGTTTTTATTTTAATCATGCCATCTTTCTTGTTCTTAGCATCTTAGTGTGGTTTATTTGTCACAACAAATGACCCAATAGTCATATATTACTATAGCTAATATACATAGTTTATTCCTATTTTCTTATGTTCTTTACCTGTCTCAGGATCCCCATCTGGAACACTGTATCACACTTTATCTCTGTGTCTTCTTGGGATCCTCTTGGCTATGAAAATTTCCCAGGCTTTCCATGTTTTTGTTGATCTTGACAGTTTTGAAGAATATAATTCAGATGTTTTGTAGACAAACTTGAAGTTTGTCTGATACTTTGCTTACGATTAAAGCCATGGATCTCTGGAAGATTCCATTAGGTAAAATGCTCCTACCAAGTGTGCAAAGTATCACCACCACTCTGAAGTAGTGTTTATCAAGTTTCCCACTGTGAGTCTGTTTTTATCTTCCCTTCCCTCTTTAGAAAGCAGTGATTTTTTGGCAGAACTTTTCAGCATGAGATTCTCAGAAAGGGTTTCCCCACAGGAAGAGGCAGATAGGACTACCAGTGCTCCACACATTTTCACTCACTCATCTACTCAACCACCAAACACAACATCCACCAGGTGCCTACCCCATGGAGACCCTGGTGTGATCCTTGCCCTCAAGAAACCTATGGTCTACTGGAAAGACAGGTGACTACACAAACAAGAACAACACACACACAATCATGTTGTCACAAGAGCAGTGGGGCTGGTGCAGAAAGCATGGAATACACTAATGAGGAGCTAGCTTAGCTGGGCGGCACTGTCTGGGACCCAATGTGTGCCAGAGACATCAGCGGGCAAAGAGGGGATGAAAAGGTCAATCACAACTCACTAGGAGGCCTAGGTGGTGTGGATGAAGAGAAGCTAAGCTGGCCTTGCTTTCAGCTCTCTGCCCATCTTCAAGGGTCATTCTTCACCAGATGCTACACAAAGTCAGGGCTTGCATCCTGTATTTTGTGTCTCTACTTACTGTAGGTTGACTGACAGAATTGGGGCATTCATGGAGATTTGTGCCATTTGTTTGGGACATCAAACAATCCCATGTGCCCAAGCTTCTGTATTTCTAAAAAGGGTGTGTTTAGGGACAGGAAGGGGAAGAGCACTTGGAAGTAAGAGAGAAAAGGTGATGTCAGTCAGCAAGGATGCGTGAGAACAGATGAAATGGGCCCAGGACCTGGGGAGTCAGAAACAGATAGGAAGATGCTTTGAGGGAAGTAGGTCAGATTTCAGATTTCTGAGCTTTCAGTTCAGCCCCAAGAGAACCTGATAAAGCTGCAATTTTTTCAGAGAATAGGGAAGCAGATGTTACCAAGTTATGCTTAGCTTACAGGCACAAGCAAGTGACAGCTGCAGACCCCTGGCCGTGCTAGCTCTGCAGCCTTGACCATGGCTGAGCAGTGGGACCCACAGCAGCCTCAGGCTAGGCAGAGAGATACGAGAGAGAAGGAAAAGAGGATGAATCTTGTGGAAAGAAGGCAACCTACCCTCAGCTGAGACCAGAGGAGGTGTGCAGGTTGCTGGCTCGTGTTCACAACACAGCTAACAGAAGGAGGGAGGGAGGGAGGGAGGAAAGGGGCTTTGGCACCCAAGCCTCAGGCTCCTCTCCCACCCACGCTGACCTCCACACCCATGATGTTCTTTTTGCTCCCTCCTACCATCTGACCCCTAGGATCATTCTCACCTTGGCTTGTTTCAAAGTTATCCCTTACACACACACATATACACATCTGCACACATAAGGACATATGTGTAAAGCACACATGTGCACTATATGCATACACATACATACACATCCGAGTGTCTGTCATTGACTCAAGTGACATTTATCCTACTTACCCAGGTCACATGGGTCCTGACCTCTACAGACTCCTGACTGGTAGGTGCCACTGATTGCCTGACCCCATATGACAGGCCTAGTGATCCTGAGGTGCAGGAACCATATTAATCCCTGAGGGTGACACACTCTGTGCAGCTCCTGGCTCCTGAGCCCATGTCCCTCCACTGTGCTAATGGGCCCCTCATTACAGAAAAAGAAAATCAGGGGGAAAGGGTGTGCTTCTTTTAGAGAAGAGGGCATGAGCAGAGGAAAAGGGCTCTCCGATGTTGTGGTCTCAACCACAGCCAAGATGGGATCCCTGGGGCCATGGTGTCAGAGTCTGACATGAGCTTGGTAAACCTTTAAACCAGGGCAGCTGGATTTGGGCCCCAGCAGCCTCACCTGTCTGCTGTGTAGTTCTGACTAGCAGGTACATCTGTCTGTTTGAGGTTGCTATAGCAGACACCTGAGGCTGAGCAACCCACAAACTGAGGGTGCTTTGTTCATAGTTCTGAGGTTCAGCTGCATGGCACCACATCTGCCCCTTACTGGTGCAGGCCTCATGCCAGCTGTCATCACAGTGATAGGACATGCAGGGAAGGACTTGGGGGTGAGGGAGACGCCAGGCTCCCTCATAACAGATTTCACAAGAACTAAGTGTCCTGTGAGACAGACACAAATTCCTTCAGGGTCACACCCCCAGACTTGATTACTGTACACTGGGCCTCACTTCTGAAGATGTCCACCACCTCAGCACCCACGCAGGGGACAAAACTTGCAGTACATGAACTTTTGGGAACAACAGACACCTAGTCTGCTCAATACCCTCTTCCTCACATTCCTCATTGACAAGCTGGCTTATGTGGTTCACCGCCCCAGGTACTCACGAGAACTGAAAGAATTCACAAATGTGAAGCACTGAACGTGCTGGGTAAGGTTAGGCTCTCTCCGAGCCAGCCCTAGAGCGAGCTCAGAGGGCAGCTCACCAGGCCCAGATGGTGCCAGCCCAATAGCCCCCCCAGCCACAGTGGGCAATATTCTGACTTATCCATCCCTGAACTGTCCACACACTCTGGCACCAGCACTGTTACTGGCATGCCCACCTGGCGGCTTCCTGGGTACTATGGTGATGAAGAGTGGAATGAATGCAAAGCACATGGCCTCCAGATTTATTCAGCCTCATGTAGACAGAGCCATGATTAACTCCTGCACAGAGTATTGGGTGGGCCCTGGGGAGCTGGTCATGCTCTGCAGACAGAGTCACT